TTTAAAATTGATATACATGATTTACATCAACAAAAAATTAAATCTAATAGTTAAAATTTTAAAATATTTAAAGATTAGTATTTTTTAAGTTAAGATTTTAATTTTTTTTATAAGAGTAGGATTAATATATATTATTTTTTAAGGTTAAAACCCCAATTTGATCTTTTTAGTTTGGCAAAAAGCTCCTTTTTAGTTACTCTACTTAAACAAACCCTTTTTTGGTCTTTAAAGTTTGAAATCCAACTCATTTTTAGTTTTCTCATGTTAGATGATAGAAATTTCGAATGAAAATGACCCCAAAAAGGCTTTTTTCAAAGTAGAAGGACCAAATTGAGGCTATTTTTAATCCATTTTTAGTCGTTTTTAGTCCTCTACTTTGAAAATTCTGTTATTTAATATGTCACGTATACAAAACTTAACAGAAAAACTAAAAAATTGTCGAATTTCAAACTTTAAAGATTGAAAATGAGTTTTTTGTTCAAAGTGGAGGGACCAAAATAGAAAATTTTAAAATTAATTAAAAACTATAAATTTACATTTTTTAAATAAGTTGTTGTGTGAAGAAGAATTAGCCATTGATCAAGCACAATGACAGATTTTATTTCACCTCTTCATGGTAAAAACAGAAAACTATCTTGGTCTTCATCGGAAATTAGCTTCACTTGCTCTCCCAAGTGCTCTAGTTTATGTGGCTTGTTAAGCAGACGAATTGTCAGTTTAAAGCTTCTTCCTTATCCACACATATGCAATGGGTAGCATAGGCAGCATGTCCTTCAAAAATATTCTACATATATATTATTTAAGTGCAATAGTGATGTTTAATTTTATGCTGCTGCTGTGCCGCAGCGGCACCGGGATGAAAAATGAACTGGAAATCAGTTGAGCCTTGTTTGTGAGTGTAGCAGACTTCAATTTTTTCTTATTTAAAACTATGTAAAGTCATGATTGACACACATCATCATCCTTCACCCTCTATTATACACCAATTAAAATATAAATACCCCTTGATTTAAAATTAGTAATAAAAGACTTAATCTTATTGCCAAATGCCTTGTAATCATCTTCTTCTCCTTCCTCCCTCCTGATAGAATCCCTGCAATTTTGTTTTGTTTTTTTTTTTTTTCAAACAAAATCCTCATAATTTAGATTTGAACTTATTTTCTCCTCTTTTGGTAAACTAGGACTCCTCATCTCCTCTTAACCTTTACTAAGACCAAAACCAAAACCAGGTTTTCTCTATCCTTTGTTTTAACTAGGCTTTATCTCCTCCTCCTCCCCTCCTACACTAGATCTAGCTACAAAATCAAGTTAGGTTGAGCAAAGAACCTAGATCTACAGGTGTTTTCACTCATTTTATGGGTATTTTTGAAAGAAAGCCGATAAGGGGCAAAAGGAAGAAATTTGAGAACCTCTCTCTGTTTTATTTCCCATTCGTTATTATTTTCTTCCTATCTTTTCTATTTCTTTATTGGTCATCGTCAGGCTTGGCTCTCTAGGCATAGGATGTTTTGTGTGGCCATTGTTGGCGTTGGTAGATAGGGGTGGGTTTCTTTTGTGCTATGAAGATTTTGAGGAAAAATTTGCGGTGAAATTAAATTTGTAGAGGAATGTGTAGCATAAGTTTTTTAGGAAAATTTTTCTTTGTAGAGGAATGAGAAGGATAAAATTCGATGGGTCTCTCAAATTTACTCACCCTTTTGTCATCCAACTAAAATCCCCAAAACTCATGGCTCTTTCTCCCTAGATATGAATTAAATATGAAAGGGATTTTAGCGTTAGGGATAGAATCTTGAACAAGCAAGGGATAAGCTAATCC